AGGACTTACGCATGTCGTCTTTGTAGATAGACTGTTAGTCTGTCGCCCTGGAACCAGCTGTGTTTTTTACAGGTGCCTTCATCTCACAACGCGGGGCTATGATCAAAATGCGTAAGTCCTGTGTTTTTAGTATGCCATGTCTAACCCTTTTTTATCAAGGAATCTTTTTACCCAACAGTCCGTTGTCTTTCTTGATTATAGTAAACCGAAAAATAAGTTGACACTTCTGGGAATAACAACCCTTCCTTCGCTGGCGGGGTTTGTAACCCCGCCTATTCAGAGTTGTCCAAGTAATTATAGGCTTCACTATAAGATGTAAGCATTTTACAACCTATCCATATAATACAATTTGTGGTGGAAATAAAGTTCCATGTCTTAGGACTATTTTATGAGATAATTTGTAGTTAAATCTCCAAAAGTCATATCAAATCGGTTCTCGTGTATTTAAAGAAAAATTTATCATAATTCACCACCGATATGCTTAGTGCTATAAATCCTTGCCACCGTTGACTTCTCTCGCCTTTTTAACTTGGCAAAAAGAAAGGAGTGTAGTAGGATATAACGCAAGTTGCTACCAATTTTGCGAACGCTCTTGTAGAAGGGAATCAACGGAAAATCCTTGTTTTTTCAGGAAAAACAGTGTCTTCCTGCTCGAAATCTTGTAAATAGCAACTTGAGTTGTAATCTTATTGCAAGAAAGGAGGACAAGCGAACCATGATCAACAAAATGAGAAACTGGACAGCCGCCGCATCGTTGTTCCTTTTCCTATTGCCGCTCGCCTCAGCCCAAATCACGCCAAATATCTGGAAAAAATTCATTGGCGAACCGGTCCCCGCCGGGACGCCTGACCTGATCGACTACTCCTACGCAGGCTACAAAAACAACCGCGGGAGGCGCTACCCGAAGCTTTGCGCTGTGCCAGTCTTCCACAGGTGACGTGACATATATTACCGGGAGGCCTACCGGATGACGACGATGTCGGACACTGACGGGATCAAAGCCGCTCCCCTTCACGCCGCGCGCTTATACGGCGGCAGGGCGGTATGTGTTGTTTTCCCGCCCTGGACAATGATGTCATTTTTGACGGTGAACGGGCGGACCCGATCATCGTATCAGGGGACAACGTCATCGTTCGAGGCAGCGGTGCAGAAGGTGCCGCCTACGGCGGGACCACCATCAAGATGCACAACAATCTGACAAGTGCCCTCAGGTTGTTTCAGACCCGTTGCGTGTCAAACGTCAGTGTTTCGTCAACTCCGTGTCAAAGGCTCTCCTTTCCCAGAGACACACAGCACTTCTCGATGTGGAGAATGTGAGCCATCTTGGAAACCGCAGGTTCATCGAAATCCGAGCGGGCGGGATGCTCGCAGCCGACTGGAGTCAATATTCTATTCTTCCCGACCGATAGCGGATATGCCGGAGTCATACACAAACATCCGAGATGGCATCGACGTGTACGAAATTCATGAAATCGACCGCATCGTCGGAGACCGGGTTTATGTGAAGGCACCGGTTCTGACCCATCTCAATTCGAACTTCAACGTCAATTGGCGGGATATGACGGTGGGCATTGGCTTTGAAGATCTGCACATAGACGGCAACCTTCAGGAACCTTACGAGCATCTCGTTCAAGAGGGACGGGGAGGTATCACGTTCTGGCATGCCGCCCATTCATGGATTCGCCGTTGCCGATTCTCAAGCACTATCAACTCGTTTGGGCACCACGTTTCTTACAGCAACTCGGCACTTGGGGTCATACTGGATGGCAGATACGGGCATATCCCTGGAAGCGTGACTGTTTCAACATACTGCTTTATCGGTCTGTTAGAGGATTATACAGAAACAACAGGCATGGCATTTCATGGAGTCAGGTGGGACTTTCTCTCGCAGGAACTGTTGTTTGGGAGATTGACGGAAAACAAATGAGAGGTCCTGATACGCATGGTTCGCAGCCCCGCCATACGCTGTTCGATAATTACAACAGCATCAGCCATCAGGGCAGCGGCGGGGCGATAGAAAACTTGCCTCACCATCTGGATGGATACACACGCTGGAACAACAACGTCGTTGACAGCAGAACCTTTGATTTGTGGACACCCGGCGGATACAGTTTTGCGGTCACTCAAGGCAACCTGATCGGATACAAAACATTGGGAGGTTCTCTCCCCCGCAACGCTTACTTCGAGGGATTCGGAACCCGTGTTTCTCCTGATTCACTTTACGAGGCACAACTACAAGCGGCGATTAGGTGCACTGCCTGCGTGGGTAAACGCTTCCAAAGACATGTATAGGGAATTCGTTGAACGCATTGTCAGTGATTCGACGCAGCCCGAGACAACCGCCACACCTTCTGTTGATCCAGATAGCGGCGGTCCGAAAATTGAGGGACCGTGGTTATGGGTGTTGGTGCCGGATGAACATCTTGACAAAAGCACGGATCTGCTGGCAAAAGCGAGTGGTGGGAATGTTACAGAGCAACAAATCGCAACTACCGGTGCGTCACCGGGAAGCAGAGTTGGGGACTATGTATGGACGCCTCTCAAAATTTCCACCAGTGATGATAATAACATCACCACAATGACGAGAGTGCTTGGCTGGAACGGAAACGACCGTGTCATTTACGGCTTCATCGCCTTAGATTGCCCGCAAGAACAGAACACAAGGATGTTTGTTGGAAGTGATGATGCCGTAAAGGTCTGGCTCAACGGCGAACTCGTTCACGAGAAGATCACCCGGCGGAGTGCCGAGGATTACAAGGAATCTTTCTCTGTCACCCTAAGGCAAGGAAGGAATACATTGTTGGTTGCTGTTGACAACGCCACCGGAGGATGGAGTGGTTTTTTTGGCTTTCAAGCGGATGCGGAATATACGGTGCTACCTTTTGCTGGCGTCGGATATGTCCTTCCCAATGTTGAGATCTATGCAGGTGATACGTTTACGCTTGACATCTACGCAGAAGATGCGACCGATTTAGTAGAATGGCAGTTTGACATCGCGTTTGATCCCTTACTCCTTGAAGCAATTGAGGTAAGCAAAGGCTATTTTCTGGAGTCGGAGGATCGGGTAACCTTCTCCCAGAAAGGAACAATTGATAATCAGTCCGGTAAAATTACAGGTCTCAGTGAAGCGGGTACTCAATGGAAATACTGTCAGTGGCACAGGCATGCTGCTGTCGGTAACCTTTGCAGCAAAAGCTGGTGGGAAGACACAATTGACGCTCAGTAACTTTCGATTCGGTGATGGCACTGGTCGAGCAATCCCTGCCGGACCTCATAGGGTTAACATAGCAGTAGAGGGGCGGCTAAGTTGGGATGTGAATGGTGATAAACAAGTAAACATTTTAGATATGATTCTCATTGCCCAAGATTGCGGAAAAGCAGCAGGACTTAATTCTCGAACGGATATAAATGGCGACGGGATTATTAACATCATAGATCTCATCCTTGTGTCCCAACACTTGGGCGAGTCAATCGCCTCGGCTGCACCTTCCATGCTTGCTATGGATGGCATAGAGGGTTTGGATCCTGCGATGATACAGGCGTGGATAGAACGTGCACAAATTGAAGATGACGGGTCTGTCGCCTTCCAACAGGGAATCACTTATCTTCAAAGTCTCTTAGCATTGCTAATTCCTGAAGAGACAGCACTACTTCCGAACTATCCGAATCCGTTCAATCCAGAGACATGGATACCGTATCAACTCTCCGAAGCAGCAGATGTCACCTTGCGTATCTATGCTGTTAATGGCAAATTAGTTCGGACATTGGCGTTGGGACAAATACCTGCTGGTATCTATCAGAGCCGCAGCCGTGCGGCGTATTGGGATGGCAAAAATGACGTGGGTGAACGTGTTGCGAGTGGTATCTATTTCTACACGCTAACCGCAAGCGATTTCACGGCGACGCGGAAGCTGCTGATCCGGAAATAGAAAAACATCGGTAAGGTGATAAAAAAGTAGGGTGGGAGTTAGAAATCTTCCACCCTTTTTGTCTTTTAGTAAAGTCGAAAAATATGTGGACAGTTCGTCAGTGAACAACGACCCCACCCCCGCTGGCGAGGATTGTATCCTCGCCTCTTTAGAGCGTCCAAGTAATTATAGGCTTTACTATTAATGTGGCTGCTTTCAAAAGGTACGAACGCTATTCCTGCAAATCCGCTAATCCTGTAAATCCTGATTCAGATATTCTGTTATGGATAAAATTTTGCGCTTCAAGGCATTTTGCGTTATCATGTAAATACAATGCCTAATTCACAATCAAACTGTGTGGCGTAAAGCGGAGGAGAAAACGTGATAAACTGCAAATGTTTCATCACACGCATCTGCCTATTGATGCTCATTATGGGGTATCAAGGTGTTGATGCCCAGCAGCAATTACCTTACGGTGCCAAAACCCGATTCGGTATCAATAAAGGTGCAATAAGCGATACAGCGTTCACACCAGATGGCACTCGACTCGCAATTGCAAGTCGTATCGGTGTTTGGCTTTATGAGGCTTCCACGGGTCGGGAAACCGCTATGGAGCCTGCGACACCATTTGATGTTTCCGCGATCGCGTTCTCACCGGATGGCAAAACGCTTGCGAGTGGCAGTAATGTAGGGGCGATTTGGTTACAACATATAGATACAGGTGAAATTAGGCATTTTTCTTCCGTGCATACGCGAGAGATTTTTTCCATAGCGTTTTCACCCGATGGTAAGACGCTCGCCAGCGGCAGTCTTGATAAAACAATTGGCTTATGGAATCGAGAGACGGGTAAGTTGCGTAACCGTCTCAGTGGACACACGGATACTGTCAACGTAGTTGCCTTTTCGCCCGATGGCAAAACGCTCGCCAGCGGGAGTTCTGATAGGACGGTGCGTTTATGGAATCCAGAGACAGGTGAACTGCAAGGCGTTTTCCGTGAGCATGAGAATGTTAATAATTTAATCACTGAATTGGTGTTCTCACCGGATGGTGAAATGATTGCCAGTGGCGGGACCGAATGGCCAACGCTTTATGTGTGGGATACAAAGACTCATGAAGTGCGGTATCATCATCATTCGCATAACTGGGCGGTTGACGCGTTAGCATTCTCGCCGGATGGGACTAAACTCGCTATTGGCGGAGATTCAGATGCAGTTGAATGGTTGGATTTGGTTTCCGACGATATTGATACCTCTATGTTTCCCCAGGATCATCCAGGGCGGGTCGACGCGCTGGCGTTCTCACCTGATGGTAAAACGCTTACAACTGTGAGTCGGAGCGGAACAATTCGGTTTTGGGGGACGACTAACGGCGATCAACGTTTCCCCGCCATAGGACATAAGCACGTTGGAAATGTATTAGCGTTTTCACCAGACGGTTGGACACTCGCCAGTGGCAACGCCGACGATACAATCCATTTGTGGGATGTTGGGACAGGGAAAGCGGTATCAATGCGTTATGAAAGTGTCGGGGCTCCGACGGCATTGACGTTTTCGCCGAACGGTCAGATGCTTGCCAGTGGGAACGCTGACGATACAATCCGTTTGTGGGATATCGGAACCGGAAAACCGTCGTTGATTCGTCGCGAGGGCATGAGGGCTCCGACGACATTGGCATTTTCATCGGATGGCACCACACTCGCCAGCGCAGGTTTCCGCCCCGGCATTTGGCGGTGGGATGTAAGAAGCGGTGAGTTGCAAGAAATTCTTAGAATTGGTAGAGCATTCTCCAAGATAATGACCTTTTCGCCAGACGGCACAATCCTCGCGAGTGTGAGTGGAGGGGACACAATTCACTTGTGGGATGCGATTAACGGCAAGTTGTTGGGCACTCTCACCGGTGATAAACACGATGTGAAGGTGATCGCGTTTTCTCCAGATAACAGCTTACTCGCAAGTGGTGGATGGGATGATCTTTTGTTATGGGATTTAAGGCGCAACCGCAGATTACCAACTTTCCAAGAGGAACACTCTCCGATACAAGCGTTGGCATTTTCACCAGATGGACGAATGCTGGTAAGTGGAAGTGTTGACAGCAAGGTGAGATTATGGGATGTCGCTACTGCTGCCTACCGTGTAACGCTCAGAGGGCATACGGAGGCAATCAATGCCGTTGCATTTTCCCCGGATGGCAAAACCCTCGCCAGCTGGAGTGCCGACGGCACAATTCTATTATGGGATTGGCATAGAATCCGTACAGATCGATAATCATTAACGCGGAAGATGCTGATCCGGAAGTAATACGCAATTAACCAAATGTGTCGCGCGTCACCTCAAGAACCGCTTGCATGTCAAGGCAGTTCGTGTTATTATAAAACATGACGACTGGTTCTCAAGAAAACACTTACCGGGTATACATTGACGCAATGATACCAAGTTATCTCGTTGCTCCTTTGAGCCGCGACCCGAAAATAGCAGCATGGCAAAGAATCACGCGTGAATTTTGGCAAGATACCCGTTTTGAGTTTGTCCTGTCAGATTATGTTATTGATGAAATATCAATCGGTGATAGAAGTCAGGCAGCGGATAGGCTGCAAGCAGTTGGGGGACTTACCCTTGTAATTGTACAAGATTTGGAACTTGAGTTTGCAGAGCAATTGGTGGTTCAAAAGGCAATTCCGGAAAACGCATTTACTGATGCTATTCATGTAGCTGTTGCTGCTATACACGATACGCGTTATTTAGCGACGTGGAATTTCACACACCTTGCAAACGCAAGTACTCGCTCAAAAATTGAACGGGTTTGTCGCGATGCAGGGTATTCGCCGCCCCGTATTGATACCCCAGAGGCGATATTGGAGGCAATCAATGTGTGACGATCCCGGGAAAGACATCCTAGAAGCAAAAGAGCGTCTTGTCGCGCTCTTCGGTGACCTACAGACCTATATGGAATTTATGATGAAACGACAAGAGAAGCGTATAAAGAAAGGCGTAAAATACGCAGATTTCTCGCCTTATCGGAAAAAGAAGCAGGAAAACATCTGATTCCTCAACTTTCCCAGACCCCCAGCGCAGCCTGAGGAATAAGGGTAAACCAAACCGTTCTTGTTAAGACTGTGCCTTACACTTATGCCCTGCGCGTATCGACTCATTTGACGACGCAATTGGACGGGATCTCGCGGACAAACATGGACGATGCACGGTCCCGATCCCCGAAACGATACACGACGGAACTCAGATAAAGCTGCGCTTGCGCTCGTGTCATACCCACATAGAAAAGACGGCGCTCCTCTTCAAGCTCTGCTTCCGTGATGTTCTGCCGCCACATCGGGAAACTCCCCTCCTCCATACCGATGATGATAGACGACCGGAAATTCTGTCCCTTTCGCTGCATGCAAGGTCATTAAACGTCAGCTGCTCAGTCTTACCGTCGAGTTCGTCAATATTGGTGAGTAGTTTATGATAATCCAGAAAGTTGATAAGCCCATGCTCATCGCTGATTAACTCGAAGTGGAGGACCGCGTTCATGAACTGGATCCTGCGTTGTCGCCAGTCAGCATCTTCTGGAAACTCTCGCACGGTCGCATGCTGCAACGTTTCTATATGTTCTCTCGCTTCTGCCGCTTCTGTGGGGTCAAGTGGTAGATTATCCAGTGATACGACGTTGTGTGTCTGGACGAAGCGTTTCGCGACATTTAAGAACGTATCGGTCTCGGTTAAGGCTTCCTCTGGATGAGCGACCCCTTCGGTTTTCGCAAGGATACCGAGCCCAACAAACGGTAGCAATTCAGTGAGAGATTTCGCCTCGCGTTTGTGAGCGTCGATTTTGATGAGTTCTTTAAAGATCTCTCGATTGACTCTGACATCCTCTAAAGCATTGTGTAAACGCCCGTGTTCAATCTCAAATTTTTCGGCAAGTGCACTCATGCTACAGCGTTGTCGAGGGAAAAGCCTGCGCGCCGTGGCGAGCGTATCGTAATGGGGCGCGGATAAATCCCTTTTCAAATACCTTCTCAGGTCGCGGGCAAGGATTGGATTGTCATATTCCGCTACATTGTGTCCAATCAGAATTCTATTCTGGATAAACCCAAGGAATTCAGGCAACACCATTTCGATTCCCGGTGAGGTCTTGACTGTCTCTGTATCAATTCCGTGGACGCGCGTGGCTGACTCCGGGATGTGTCCTCCTGGCGGTCTTACTAAGCGATAATACCGCTCAACTCATCTCCGATTGCGCTGAGACGGTGTGCAGCGATCTCAACGATTTCTGCCGTTTTCGGGTTGAGTCCGGTAGTTTCCAAATCGTAAACGACCATATCCGCCATGTTTGGGGTTTCAAAACGATTAACAAGACGTTGGCAGAGTTTGAGTGCTGTGATGCTATGAATCCCTTCTGCTCCAGCGAAGCACGTCCGTATTTGCTACGTCCGCTGTGCCGATGAGGAGTGTCCGGGCATCCCGCGCACTTTCTCCGATGTCCTCGAAATTGCCGATAAGCAGATGGACCCCGTTTTCGTTCGGTTTAGGTCTGTTTCCCTCAGGCTGGCAACAATTGGAGTTGTGCGGTGTGATTTAGGTAGGTTTCAAGCGTCTGGTAGATAATGTGCGCTGCACAGTACTCGTCAATCCCGTGGCTGGCGGTAATCTGGATCGGCTCACCGAGATTCAGTGCGCTGTAGAGGACATCCTGTGCAGTTACCAGATTCGGCACCTCAGGTTGTTTTTCGATGACTTCCAGTTCTTCAGCACGATAGGGAGTCCGAGAGCGTTCCAAAGTATCGAAGAGTTTCGTGATAATTTTATCGACCCTCTCGTCTTCAATTTCAATTGATAACCTCTCAAGTTGTGTCCAGAATTGACGAACATTTCGGCGTGTTAAGGGACCGACATCCTGTGGATATGCTTCGATATTTTTCAAAAGCTCCACAAAAGCAATATCTTCACGTTGTGCGAGCCACTTCAAGCGCACCCATGTTAAGTCGTCGATGCAAGTTTCAGGAAAGTTGATTGCGCGTTCCATATCTTGTGGAAGTGCCACTATGGAGAACGGAGATAGCGCAGAGATACCTTTGCTATTCCCGTTCCGCGAAAGGAGTGAGTCGGTTGCGATTCGCTGGAATTGGATGTGTTCCGTAGCAACTGTTCTTCCAAAACGTCGCGAGTCTGTGTGTACGGTAAAAATGGCATATCACGCAGAGTAATGTGCGTGTCGTCACTAAGTTCTGGATGACAATTACATGACGTCGCGTGCTTCCGCTACAGGTGTGTAAAGGTATAGTGAAAAGATGTCGCGCCCTGCTCTTTATGGGTTCTGAGGGTGGTTGTTCTGTCGCTCTGTATTTCTGGGCATGGACCTCTCCGCTGACCTCAAAATCTTCTCGCTACACAACCGATAGTGTCGTCCAAGCAAGTTCGCACGATGTAATCGGCTCTGAAACATCATAATACACGCTGGATTCGAGCGCGCCGAAACAAATATAAATCGCCTGATCTTCGTCAGCGCACTACCATGAGGTTGTTGTTCGGCGGGGTGCGTCACAGAGCAGTTGAGTAGGTGATACCTGCACGCTGTCACATCGTGGAATTTCGTCACGTCGACAGGATATAGCCGATTCCTTTGTGCATAGTCTATTCTGTACAAAACATCTTCACCTGTTCACACACTCGATAGTCTTCACAGGAGATCGTCGAAACTGAGCGCATCGTATCAGCGTGAGAGTCTGTCCTGGTAGTTTCGCGAGAACACTTCGGATGTTGTCGCGGCGGTTCCGCATCATGAATGTCCGTGGCATCCACTGCGTCAAACGGATTCTCTGCTTTACATATTGCATCACTCAGATGTTACGCAGCAGCCATGGCGGAGAGTCATCGTGTGAGGTTCAATGCTCGGACGCTCTCTGTAAGTCTCATCTTGAGTTCCTGATCGAAGATAGTGAAGTTTTCGCTTAATACGATCCGCAGGGCGTCTTTCGGAGCATTTAAACGCAAATGCATGGAAGGTGCTGACTTAATGTGGAACTGTGCGGTTCGCCAATCTCGTTGTTGACGCGTTCCTGCATCTCTTGTGCGGCTTTGTTGGTAAAGGTGATCGCAAGGATGCTCTCCGCTTTGATGCCGTGTTCGCGAATCAGGTAAGCGATGCGATGTGTGATAACTTCTTGTTTTCCTGTACTGGACCTGCAATAACGAGGAGTGGACCATTTTTGTGTGTTACGGCTTCTGTCTGTTTTTCATTTAATTCATGAAGAATGTTCATCGGGGTTCCCTCCGTACATTCTATTGGAAATTTGTGTCGCTTTTTAGAGTCGGTGTGATATAATATTTAGGTCGAAATATAGCGGTTCCCACTGCGAATAAACCCATGATTATTATACCTTATTCGGCGCGAAAAAACAAGGCATTTTGAGCATAATTCAGAGCCATTCAATTCTCGCGAAACACTCTTGTAGGAGGGCTTTGTAAGCCCGATTTATAGGTGTCCTAATTATCCTGAAAATCCTAAAATCTTGTAAATCCTGATTCTGACAGCCTATAATTGATAACTGACGACTGATGGTTGGCTGCTGATAACTGACGACTGAATGGCTCTGAACATAACGGGAGACTCAACTTCAGACAATTTTTATGAATTTTCATGTGATGGATTGGGTTAAAAGGAAATACTTGAGGTACTCCTCTAACCTAATTTTTCTATGCGCATGTTGCTTGTGTTCTTGCGTAAAGCAGAGAATAATCAAATTACTTGATACTGTCGCACTAATTATCCCAAAAATCCGTGATTGAGAGACATGAATTTACAAACCCCACCACCCTACACGCAATGGGAACTTCCCCCAGGTGCCTTAGCGCGCCTTGGCAAAGGCGCGATAACGGATATTCAGTATTCTCCAGACGGAGCCCGTCTCGCATCGCTTGCCTGTTATATCGCGGCGTTTGGCTTCTATACGATGCACACACCGCACCGCATCGCACCTCGTAAACACGACAGGATCAGGGTGTCGCTTCGCTCGCGTTTTTCGCGCGATGGCACGACCCTTGTAACCGGAAATTCGGATAATACAATTTCACTATGGGATGTCCACACCGGACAGCGTCGCTCCACGATGACACTCGGAGATGGTGAAGCTGAGGTTTGGGCGTTCGTAGTTTCGCCGGATGGTAATACTCTCAGTCAGTGCAGGATTGGGCGAGAAAATCCGATTTTGGGACACTCACACGGGTCGCCTGCTTTATGATATTGTCGACATGCGTATCCCTCAATGCTCTCT